TCCGCAAATTTATCAGCTCCTGGAACGCGCTTCAGAGCACATTCTTTCTTAAGTCCTTTTCTCATCGGAACGAATATCGTGATTAAATTTTCCCCTGCTTTTCCCGGAGAACCATTCGGCATACGTATACATTTAGTACCGTGGCATTGCAATGCAGTGACACGGCTCGGAGGAAAATCGGTGCGGAGTGATTTATCGCAGGCGATTTAAAACATCGGCGTATAGCTGGATTAGAAATTGCAGTTAGTTTACTTCGGCGAAACGTACGGGATTTCCGGGTTGCCATTAAGAGACAAATTGCGTGACCACGTTAGACAAATGTCTGAGCTATCCCGCAAGATTTCCGGTTTATCCGCGGCGTTCCGCGAAACCAGTTCGATCAGCGGTTCAAACACAGCCGCGAACATTTTTAGCGTAGAGTAGCAATGTCGTTACCTCGCGAGGTCGCTGGTAGATGCCGCCACGACTACCGATTACTCCACTTTTACAGAGTTCATTCATAGCCGCCCAAGTATGACGTAGTGGAAACTACGATCGTTAACGAAGCTGAATATTAAGTCGCTACGGAGTCTCGCTGACAAATAAAGCGGCGCAAATGAGTAACGAGAAGTAGAATAGCGCGTTCTGCAGAACGAAAACAAATTGCACCATTTGCAGTAAGGATTTTCCCAACACAATCGCGCTTATAATAATTCAGCTGAGAACCCGCGTGCGAGTCTTTCAGCGTTAAGCCAATGAGCGCGACGAATGCATTGTTGAAAGTCGAAACAAAACAAAAGAGAACAGTTGCTCACGTTTGAATGAGCGTGAAACGGGCGGATTTACGCAGGGATCGCAATGGGATTTAGGTAAAGGTCGGGAAAAAAATAGTCGGTCGCGTCCAGGTCGCGTCGGGATTGCGTGCGAGATCGACGATCGTCGTTGATGAGCGTTTCCCGGCGAGATCAACCGATATGAACGTACATTCGCGCACGGTCATCGTCGTCGCCGTTGCCTGCCTGCGTCGCGATATTATCCCGCCATTATTATACTCACGAACATTCCGCGAGTATCATTCCGCCGAGAATAGCTTCGTCGAGAGAGAAACCCTTTGCCGGCTCGCGTCACCTCGATGGACAGCTCACCTTCCGTTCGACGATATCACCGCTGCAAAGCGACTTTATACGCGCGCAATGTCATGCGAGAAGGTAGATTGCAGTTTCGAATCATCCACGATCGTCAGGACTCGATAAGACGCAATATTTATGACTCGCGAAGAGATGTCTTCTTTATTTTTATTTTCTCCTTTTTTACTTTTAACCTCGTCTACATCGTACCAATTTTTATACTCCCTTCTATTGATCTTATCCCCGACTTATCCCGTATGAGGAGAAATTACGTTTCGTAGCGGATACACGTCTCGCGATGCTAGAGAATGGAATAAAAATGCGCCGGAAGCTGGTACATTATTTCAGGCAGTCACGCTAAGTTATGGGAGATTACATCACGATTATGATGTGGGATATAGATCATAGAAAATTGTATTCTTGGAACTTGTCCAATTCGTGCGAATCGAGAAACTTTACTATTAACAGCTTCAGAGAGAGAGAGAGAGAGAGAGAGAGAGAGAGAGAGAGAGAGAGAGAGAGAGAGAGA